GACGATCACTCGAGGAAGGTGTGGGTTTACTTCATGAAGCACAAGTCAGAGGTGTTCGAGATCTTCAAGAAGTGGAAGGCCATGGTCGAGAACGAGACAGATCTGAAGGTGAAGTGCTTGAGATCAGATAATGGTGGAGAATACGAGCTGGAGGAGTTCAAGAGGTTCTGTGCTACGAATGGGATTCGCTTAGAGAGGACTACTCCAGGGACGCCGCAGCAGAACGGCGTTGCAGAGAGGATGAACAGGACCTTGACAGAGCGTGCGCGGAGCATGCGATTACATGTAGGTCTGCCTAAGACATTTTAGGCGGACGCGGTACATACGGCAGCATACCTTATTAATCACGGGCCATCAGTTCCATTAGATTTTGGGATTCTAGAGGAGGTTTGGAGTGGAAAGAAGATAAATCTCTCACACTTGCGGGTATTTGGTTGCGTGGCTTATGTTCATATCAGTGACCATGTCAGGGACAAGCTAGAAGCTAAGTCACAGAAGTGCACATTCATTGGATACGGCATTGATGAGTTCGGGTATCGCCTTTGGGATGAGAAGAACAGGAAGATCATCAGGAGCCGGGATGTTATATTCAATGAGGAGGTGATGTACAAGGACAGGTATAATGCCAAGGATAGCCAAAGCAGTGGGAGCAGCACTACGGATACAGGTGGATCCGAGTACATGGATTTGGAGGAACTTCCAGATGGGGGCGACGATGTCAGTTCTGACCGTAGAACGGAGGAGACTACAGGTGCAGAAGCTACTACCCAGGGCGTGGAGCCTAGGAGGTCATCTAGGGTACCCAAACCAAATCCCAAATACCTCTCGTCACTTGATTATCTACTCTTAACAGATAGCGGAGAGCCGGAGTGTTATGAAGAGGCAGTGCAAGTGAGTGAATCTCAGCAGTGGGAGCATGCGATGCAGGAGGAGATGGATTCTCTACTCCCTAATGAGACATGAGAGTTAGCCCAGCTACCTGCACAGAAGAAAGCCTTGCACAATAAATGGGTCTACCGGGTCAAGCAGGAAAGTGATGGAAGCAAGAGATTCAAGGCCAGATTAGTAGTGAAAGGGTTTCAACAGCGGGAAGGAGTGGACTACACGGAGATATTTTCCCCTGTTGTGAAACTCACAACCATCAGAGTGGTGTTGAGTTTGGTAGCTGCAGAAGACCTCTTCCTTGAGCAGTTAGATGTGAAGACTGCCTTTCTTCATGGTGACTTGGATGAAGAAATCTACATGAAGCAGCCTGTTGGCTTCATTGAAGAAGGAAAGGAAGAGATGGTGTGCAAGCTCAAGAAGAGCTTATATGGTTTGAAACAGGCTCCGAGACAGTGGTATAAGAAGTTTGATAACTTCGTGCAGAACAATGGCTACAGAAGATGCAATTCGGATCATTGCTGTTATTTCAAAAGGTTCGAGTCCAGCTTTATTATTTTGTTATTATATGTTGATGACATGTTGGTAGCAGGACCGTGTTTAGAAGAGATAAACAATTTTAAGAGACAGCTAGCAAAAGAATTTGCAATGAAGGATCTGGGTGCAGCGAAGCAGATTCTAGGGATGCGAATCAGTAGGGATGAAGCTGAAGGGATATTGAGATTGAGCCAAGCTGAATACATTGAGAAGGTACTTCAGAGGTTTAACATGCAAAATGCTAAAGTTGTTAGCACACCCCTTTGAAGTCAGTTCAAGCTATCTGAGGAGCAATCGCCTAAGACAGATGCAGATAGAGAGCATATGAGCAGGATGCCATATTCTTCGGTCATTGGGAGTCTCATGTACGCGATGGTTTGCACGAGGCCGGACATCGCCCATGCAGTGGGAGTTGTGAGCAGATTTGCAAGCAATCCAGGAAAGCAGCATTGGGAGGCCGTAAAGTGGATAATGCGGTACTTGAGGGGAACAACGAACAAGCCACTATGTTTTAGGAGGAAGGAGTTGGTGCCTTTACTGCCCAGGGATACGTTGGATGCGCGGACTTTCGCCGGTGATCATGATACGGAGGCGAAGCACCACGGGGTATGTTTATGCCTTAGCATCGACTAGCTAGTGAGCTGGGTCTCACGTCTGCCCAGAGATTGTGACTTTGTCTACACCGAGCTGAGTATGTCGCGTGACTGAAGCAAGCAAGGAGATGATCTGGTTGAACGGCGTGCGCCTGGAGGGGAGTTGCGATTCTGAAAGCAAGGGAGAGGTAGTTCTTATTTGTGATAAGCCAGAGCTCCTATACATCTTGCCAAGGAATCCAGTATATCATGCCAGAACGAAGCACATCGACGTCAAATTACCATTTTATACGCCTCGCTGATCGGAGGGACGGAAAGTGCATTTAATGAAGATTTTGCGGGATCGTTCAAAAGTCCGGCGGACATTGTTGACGAAGGCAGTCACCATTGGCAACTGGAGTTGTGCGCAACTTCAGTTTGGCCTTCACGAGTAGAAGTCACGAAGACGGAGCCACACTACGAGGATCGCGAGATCGGCGGAATTTTGTGATGAAGGAAGAACTTTTCCGGCGGGAAAAAGATACATGCGCAAGAAAGGGGGAGTCGATGTGAGTCCTCATTGGATGGGCCGTTCGTCTCAACGTGGGAGATTAGTTAGTCTTAAGTGTGTAGACCCGAAGCTGCAATCGAAAAGACGAAGAAAACAGTCAGAAGACTGAAGAGTTTCTTCGACCGCGTGCACTGCAGGAAAACTGAGAAGTTTCTGTCGCTCTGGGTCGGTCGCACCGGCGTGGCCGCTGCGGTCGACCGCAAATGTGCACAGGACCCTGTAAACAGATTTTTCTCTGGCCGGTCGACCGGCCTTGGCACGGCGGTCGACCGCGAATCGTCCAGACAGTTTCCTAAACTGTTTGGGAATCTGTTTTGTTGCAGGATTCTATATATACCCCAAACGTTTTTAGGGTTTGTAAGACATCAAAAAGAGAGCTTTTTGACTGCAAAGAGAGAGAGAATCTCAGAGAGATTAACCCCTTGTTTGAGAGCTTGTATTTTCTTCTTCAATTAATAAAAAGATTGTGTGGTGTGGCTCCCGAGGACGTAGGCACGTTGCCGAACCTCGTTAAATCCGTGTGTTCATCTCCCTTACTGTTTTTTGCAAGTTAGATCTTTATTTGTGGTTTTATTCCTACTTTCCTACTTTCAACACAAGGTCCGGAAGAGCAAGGGTTCGATTGATTGTTTCGAATCCCCAACAAATCTTTGAGCGGCGGCAAAGGAGATTTGCGGGTTTTTGATAGAGGGGGAACGAAGAAGAAAAGAGGTTCACGGGGGCCTTTTGTGTTTTTTTTTATTAAAAAAGGGAGGGAAAATTCCCTCCATTGTTAAAAAATGGCCCCAACGGTTGGAACCGTTGGGGCTGCAAAAAGTTACCCTAACGGTTCCCACCACCCGTCGGGGCTGGGCACCTTTGTACTAGTGTTTTTATGGGCAGCAATAAGCTTGGAAGAGGATTTGGATTTAGAAATACATTTCTTATAATAAAACGCAATGACATTTAAGACTAATTAATTTCCTGTAACAAATTAACAATACATGTAACATTTAATTCATTTACAATTGCAGTACAAAATAGCTCCAGATTGATTAAAGATTGATTAGTACACATATAGTGGGGTATGCAGACAATGAATATCATATACATGTCGGTAGTCATAATGCTGTCTCACGACTGCCGTGGATATTTAAAAAAAATGCAAATTTACCTCGAGGATATATGATGGTTGGTGTCTGAGATTTACTGATTTGAGAACTCATTATTTTCCGTGGATGATTTAGATATGCTCATGAATGATAAAGATTGTTGAAAAGTGGGAACCGTTTTTTTTTTTTTTTTGCAAAAATACTTTTAGGCCCCCGTCTCATAAAGAGAATGTGCTTTATATGCTGTCACAAAAACAGAGAGAGTAAATGTGTTTTTACCTCCCAAATTGAAAAGCAAATGTGTTTTAGCTCTTTTATATGCTGTCACAAAAACAGAGAGAGTAAATATTGTATTTATTCTCATTGTACCCTAATTTAATGATACGTCAACCACACACCCCCCACCCCCACAAAACCTCATTTGTGTTGGGGTTTTTCTATAGAGTGCCCATGGGCACTCTATAAGAAAGGAGAGAGATAGAAAGAAGTGAATTGCCCATGGGCCCTCCTGATTTGCACTAAATTCTATAGGCAATTCAATTCTCTCTATCTCTCTCCTCTCTTATAGAGTGCCCATGAGCACTCTATAGAAAAACCCGTTAATATTTACATCCAAGTAATAAATAAAAAGACAACCCTTCCCACTTCTCTTTTTTTTTCTTTTGGATTTTATGCAAACTTTTAGGACGTTATCCCCTATAAAAACGCTTTTTTTTTTTGGGGGGGGCGGGGGGCGGGGCACGCAATTTATCGGGGAAATTATTTACAATTTCTAAAATTTTTAAGTGATTTTCTACAGTTTTTTGCGAGGTCGTTGGCAATTTCTTAAACTATTAGGGGTCATTTCTTATTTTTAAACTTTTTGGGGGGTTTCTACATTTTTGGGGGGTAATCTGCAATTTGTAAAACTTTTTGGGGATTTTCTATAATTTTTTAAGGGGTTAGTTGCAATTTTTGTAACTCTCAAGGAGTTAACTTATTACTTAGTTGTTAAACTTATGATATTTGTTGAACATGTTACTATGTTAGTTAGTTGATATACTTATGAGATAAAATATTAAACTTATTAGTTAGTTATTAAATTTATGACATAGTTATTGAACTTAGTAGTTAGTTTTGAAACTTATTAGTTGTTAAACTTATTAGATTAATAAAATTGAAGTTAATTTTGGGGGGGGGTAAGCATACGTGGACTAAGTCTTGGTGCTCAAATCACATTCCCTTTCGAATCTTGAGGCCTCATATCATTTCTTTCCCTTTTAATTTTTTTAAATTAATTTAGTTCTTAGACTCTATCTAAGCCGATCCAATTCATAAACCATGTAGACAATAAATTGAAGATTAACGTGTAGAAACATCTAATAGCACCTATCGTTCATAACTTTAGTGAAATCACATAATGTCACAATGCACCGTGAAGCCTCACTACTACCGTTAGTCACGATGTATGAAGAAACATCAACAGTAGCATCGGTCGCCCTTTCAGGTGCGGCTGAGTTAGTTTTGAAGTAGTAATCGGACGGCTCCGATACGTCGATTGCTCGATCAGGCGCCGTTGATTTAACGTTGAAGTAGAAATTCGACGGTTTCGATGCGTTGGCCGTTCTATCTCTTGCAGTGGTACAGGTTGCTTGCTCCGAAACATTGCTTGTTCTTTCGAACAAATTATTAGAAGGGGTACACTGTTGAAGTCCAAGATTTTTTGATAGAAGCTTTATGCAGGAGGTAAGAGCTTCGCACATCCACGGGTATCTGCTGAGCCTGAATGCATCCGCAACGCTTACCTATTGACGGGAAGTGAGGAGTTAAGAGAGAAAGAAGTCCCTTGTAATTGATTGATTTGGTTATTGAAGGGGGTCATTAGGGTACGTGTGTTACTTATGGAAAGTTTCAAAAAAGAAAACTTTAATAAAAGAGTAAAAACTTCACGAAAATACCCTGAATGATGGGGGTTTTGCAGAAAACCCCTAAACATTCTACATTGGAGAAAACTACCATGATCTCTTTACACTGATAAAAGAAAAATTCCCAAAGGACCCAAAATATGGGACCAACAGGGGGGNAAAGGGGGGGGGGGATATGTGAGGTGTCCTCCTCCTATTGCATAATGAGGTGGTCATTATTAATGATGACCAGCTCATTATACAATAGGAGGGGGACAGCTCACATGTTCCTCTTGTTGGTCCCATATTTTGGGTCCCTATAGCAAAACTCCTAATAAAATGACAAGGGTACTGACAACAGTTAGCTCAACTCATCACATGTTCCGCACGTGACTTTCTAGATAGTTTTACCATTGTATAGTTTTTATTTTCACTCATAAAGAATTTTTTCGGTTTAGGATTAATAGATAGTAATAAAGGCAGTTTAACTCTTCACGTTAAAGTTTTCATTGCAGTTTATTAAGGATCCTATCAGAACATCTCTATATGAATGAGGTCAAAAGCTAAAACTCCCAAACGGACCTCCTAACCGCTTGTGAATAGTATAGATCACCGATTTCTATAGAGATGTCCTAATAGAATCTGCACTCTCAGCCAGTTGCCAAATAGCTAAAGGTAATTTTCCGACATCTTGAAAGCTCATAGTAGTTTTGTTAAAATCTACCCAAAAAAGCCCCTAACGAAGGAAAATATTATTTCTATCATATAGAAACTATGTAGTTATTCAATATTTTGATGATTTAATTTATTGTTGTAATTTGGTGTAGTGGATGTACAAATTACCCATATCCTCTTGTGGGTAGATTGTTCAGGCCAGTATTCAAGTTCTTCATGCACTTCTAACGCAAACATGTAGCCTTTGCAAGCTCCCACGTTGCTGCAACTGTTCTGCCTGCTCTTGCTTCTAAAAATCCACTCTCCCAATATGGTTTCCTGCTAAAAAAATTAATACAAATTATTAAGGTTAATCAAAATTTTCAAGGTATTATATATCTGGGGGGGGAAATTTTCAAATACGAGCACGTATCCATTTACATACTTAAAGGATAATTGTCAATGACATCTTACCTTAACTAACGTCATAAATGTTAGTTCAGCGAAAAAATATTCATGATAGTTTTCTAACATAAATTTTTTTAGAGTAGTTTTAAGTAAGTCATTTAAAATTGATGGTAGTTTGGCTAAAAGGATTAATTGCGGACAGTCCCTGTGTAGTTCCATTGCAACAGATAGAACCCCTACGTGAAATTTTTTTACTCTTTAACCTCTGGAGGTCTAATTGTCAAAAAAAAAAAAAAACATTTTTTTCCTTTCCCTGAAGGTAAAATACTCCAAAATAAACCATAAAAATTTACAAAAAAAATCACTCGGGGTGTATATCTGCAACAACAAAAACACAGAGAGTTTATCAACAATTAGGCGATATAGTAAATAGGGTCTATAAGCAATTAACCCTCGCCATCGCTAACAAACAAAATAAAGAGGGAAGAAAAAAAGATGAACCTACATTGAGAATTCCTCTTACTCCTGCTTCCTCAAGAGCTTCCCTGCTTGCAGCTTCACTCATACTCTCATCATTCTCCCATCCTCCCTGTTTAGCAATTTACTTCTTAAATACAATAATTTTACATATCAAGGACAAGATTTATTTAATTTGTGCAAATAGCTAGTCAAGAGAAATCACCTTTGGGAAAACAAGATCATGTCGATTTGGCGTAGCAATCATGAGGACTTCCAATCTATATATCAGATCTGAACCTTCGGTTTTTAGTTTATAAGGAATGCATCTGTTGAAAAAATCATCACATAGAGAAAAAAATAATTATAATAAGCCAAAATTTCGATAATAATAGCTTATCAAATCTTCGAGTAGGATACATACATTAAACATGTAACAAAACTTCAATAGATCTTAGTCAACAGAAGGACCAAACCATAACATATTAATAGTAAGTTCTTAAATTATACACCACTTTCTTCATGTCAATTAGCATGAAAGTCCAACTTGACATGCCCATGAGAAATTACCCACATCTTTCCTTGTGATCAATTATAGCTCAACCTTTTCCCCCTGTTTTTTTCCCTCGTGTTCTTTTTTAGTAATCAGAGAAAGATTAGCAGAAAACTTATTAACTTGAGAAATTAAGTAGACGCAGGATGGAGAAGAACGCGAAATTACCTTGCAACTTTTCCTTTTTAGTAATCAGAGAAAGATATTCACAAAATTTATTAACTAGAGAGAATAGATACAGAAAGGAGAAGAACATAAAATTACCCTGCAACAAGTCGAAGCTCATTCTCATAACGCTGTCGATCTCGCCCTACTCTGGCTAGCGCGGTAGACGACGACGACATGATATTATGTGCGAAAACTCCTAATGCACACAAAAAGTGGAGAAGATAATAGGAGGTATGGCAAAAGTTATCATATACAAGTTACTCTCCTCTCCAAAAGCTAAACACAGACTAAATTCTAAGTTGAGAAGCAATTAATCATGGGACGGACAGAGAAATGGAGAGGAAAAAGAGAAATGGGCTTTCTTTCATCAACTACCCACAATTTAAGGACAATTTAATTTGGTCAACTAGAGCTCTCCCGACCTTCATTTTTAATGAGGGAACAAAGAAATAAAGAATGGCTTAATTAGCTGCAATAATAAGCTTTAGAAATTTTTAGAAGGTTGAAAGCTAATTTAGATTATGAAGCCAACAACCATAACTGGGCAGTTGAGATCTTTCAGAGAAGCAACACTATGGCTAGCTCCCTTTTAAAAACAGAGGACAGAGAGAGCACATAAGAGCTCTCTAGCATGTGATGAGTGAGATGAAGAATTTTCCCGCTTAGACCCAATCAACTCAAGATAAAATAATGGTTAATTGCGGATGGACCCCTGTAGTATCGTACAATTGCGGATAGATCTCTTATAGCTCTATTTGTGCATATAGATCCTTTGTAGAATTTGCCAAAGTGAAAATAAACCTTCCTGGTAAACATTTTTTTGACTATTTTAATAATCAACAAAATTAGCAATTGGGCATCTATCCGTATAGATAGAACTATAGGGTGGTCTAGCTATTCTCCTTTATAGAACCTTTTTTTCTCTCTTTTAAAAGTTAAAAAGATTCACTTACAGAGTCTATATGTACAATGAGATACAATGAGAACTATAAGAGGTCTATCCACAACTGGATAATACTATAGGGGTCTATCTGCACAATAAGAACTAATTAATACATTAAAAAAACTAACTACATTATAACAGCTTCTCTCTGTGAGCTAAAACCTATAGCATTAAAGGGATTCTTATCCAAGAGGATTTAGCCAAGTTGATACACTGCCTATGAGTAGTAGTCTAAGGTCTTAGGTTCGACTCTCCTGAAGAGCACCCACAAGAATTTAAGTTTCCTAGAATACCTGAGGCCCTGTATTGAGGGACGTGCCCTTTAGCCACACCTGGGGTTTTTGTTAGGATTGTGTCTTTGATTCTTTGTAGAACTTCATGAGAATTAGATAGGGTTAAAGATCTATCATGATTAGGAGTTTGAGTTCTATCATAATTAGGTGTTTGTATCATATTCTAATTAGGAAGTTAGGCTAGAGATAGAGTTTTAGTTTTCCTATATATATTCTTCTATTGTAGGACGAAAAACTAAAAAGAAGAGAGTAGAGAGAAGATGTAGCAGAGAGATCAATATTCTTATAATCTAGGGTTAGCAGAAGGTGTAGCCTGATTCAAGAATATTGTGCGAGAGGCGAGGGTTTTGTGATCTTTATCCGTGCAAAAGATTACAAGGAGTGAGCTTTGGGGGGAATATGAGAGTTGATTATGTATGTGAGGTTGAGAGAATGAGAGACGAGAGTTGAGTGGTTCCTCTTGTAGTTCTCCCTGATACATAGTGAATTTCTCATATTATTGCCCAGTGGATGTAGGTCGAAGTTGGTCGACCGAACCACGTAAATATCGGTATTTTTTTCATGATTGTGGTCATTTTATATCTTGTTAATGGTGTGTTGGCTTCGGAGTTGCGCATATTGTAGTAGGTAGGAAGAGTGAAATTCTCCAACAAGTGGTATCAGAGCGACGATGATGGATCTAGGAGCCTGTTCGCAAGATAGGCGTCGTACAAAATTGAAGATTGACGTTACAAGAATCAAGATGAAAAGAAAAATAAAAAGAAAAAAAATCTGTAACATCGACATACTGTAGTGCCCGAGAATTACAGTTGGATACTGTAGCATGAACACTGTAGCGACACGGCAGGTACTGTTCGCACAGATCCAACGGTTGAGATTGATTTGTCTTTTGATCGAGGATTTGGAGGCGGATTTTGGTGATCCAGGAGTCGTTCCAAGGGTTTTTCGATGTGCTGAGTTTATTTTTGGTATTGATTTTATCAAATTCAATCTCTATAGTAACTGATTTGAATTTTGGTCGTGGTTAGAGAATGATGTCTTCTTCGGGTCCGAAGTTCGATATTCCGCTATTCAACGGCAAGACGGATCTGATGGCAGATAGGGAAAACGAGTATACGATAGATGAGACTGACGTAGTGAATCAGATGTGATTTTAGCAGTAGATTTGTCAGTATATAATTATTCAAAGCCATCGTAGGAGCAGTAGTTGGTTGGTGTGTAGACTCAAGGAGGACAGTGCCAGATTAGGTGGAGCATGCAAGATGGTACGACCGAGTGACACATAGGATAATTGAGATGGTGGCATTGGACTTGAAGACAATGAGCGCTCATATTCGGTCCAAGCCAAGTGATGGAGGAGATAGATGCATCCGACTTATAGTGTGGAGTAGGAGAGGTGCATTGATATGATTTGAGACGAGCGATGCAGGTGGAGCACAATGACAACAAGTAGGGAGAGGCTATTGTAAGGCTCAAGTTATGAGGACAAGCATGATTGATTTGCTTTTATTGTCAGAGGTAGCAAAGATCTCTTGATGCACACAAGAGAAGTGGAGGCGCCACAGTGAAGCAGATGATAGTGAGGGTCACGAGACAACAAGTTAGAGTGCATGTGTTCTGATTAGGAGTGTGGCCGCTTCGATTTGAGGTGCGAAAGAAATAGAAGACTCTAGCAGGAGAGGCAAAGTTTCAAGACAATGATGATATATCTTCAAGGGAGTTTGGGAATCAAATCCAAGGTGGAGATTGTTGGGATTATGTCTTTGATTCTTTGTAGAACTTCATGAGAATTAGATATGGTTAGAGATCTATCATGATTAGGAGTTTGAATCATATTCTAATTAGGAAGTTAGGCTAGAGATATGGTTTTGATTTTTCTATATATATTCTTCTATTGTAGGAGGAAAAACTAAGAAGAATAGAGTAGAGAGAAGATGTAGTAGAGAGAGCCAATATTCTTATAATCTAGGGTTAACAGAGGGCGTAGTCTGATTCAAGAATATTGTGCGAGAGGCGAGGGTTTCATGATCTTTATCCGTGCAAAAGATTACAAGGAGTGGGCTTTGGAGAGAATATGAGAGTTGATTATGTATGTGAGGTTGAGAGATTGAGAGACAAGAGTTGAGTGGTTCCTCTTGTAGTTCTCCCTGATACATAGTGAATTTCTCGTATTGTTGCCCAGTGGTTCCTCTTGTAGTTCTCCCTGATACATAGTGAATTTCTCGTATTGTTGCCCCGTGGACATAGGTCAAAGTTGGTCGACCGAACCACGTACATCTCGGTGTTTTTTTCTCTTGATTGTGATTGTTTTATATCTTGTTGATTGTGTGTTGGCTTCGGAGTTGCGCATATTGTAGTAGGCGGGGAGAGTGAAATTCCCCAACAGTTTTGACACCCCATGGTCTAAAAGATTGTGGGAAAATTTCTTCTTCAAACCATAAAAATAAGATGATTAGAAAAATCTCAGTGTATATTTCTAAGGCTTAAGATCAAATACATAGTTGTACACAGCTGTAGTTGTACATAAGACTCTCCCTCTACATACAGTGCATGTAGTACTAAACTAGCCCATGAATGAATGATTTGAGCCTCAAGAGACTCAAAGAATAAATTTTGGGACTTGGTCAAACTTTACTCAATTCTTAAGACTAATTGTCATCCTATTATAACTCTATATACAGAGATATTCCTCAAAATAAATTAATAAAAATTTATACATAAATGTAGATACACTAAAATTAAAACAATATGGGAAATAAAGCAGCTCTTTTAACTATTAAGTGAAGAGTCATGTTCCAACCTTTCCTCAAGGAGAATTATTCATCTCTTTCGGTTTGGTAGCTTTTTGCTCTGTTACTATAGTTCCAAATTACTTGTACAGGTTTTTTTCATGTTTGTTAGAGACGAAATGTGCTAAGTGTTTAGAATTAATTGCGTACGAGAGGAATTGTGCATAAGATAAGAGAGAGTGGAGCATTTAATATTTATGTAGAGTCACAAAATTGCTCTCATATCTTTTGGGGAATGAATGACTGTTTCCTCCTCTCATTCAAAATTTTTATCCCGACAAAATTTTTGATACAGTAGTACAGATTTGTAGAGCAGCACTGATATTTAGAATTTTTTTGTTGTTGTTGTTGTCGTTGCTGCTGCTGCTGTTGCTGTGTGTGTGTATGTTGAGGGGAACTTGCTTTGCAAGAAGCATGGAGTTCGTGTCCTGCCTCTGTCGAACTTCAACTGCTTGGCTGGAGAACTTTAATGCCCGGACAAGCTTCATGGCAGGAAGGACGGGTTTAGAATTTATAATTGTTTACGCCAGAAAATTGGTATGTGATTTGGGGAATGTTTAACTTGATTTCGGGGTCTCTTAATCTGCCTTTGATAGTTAATCTTCTGTTGAGGGTCTTGAAACTATACTTTGCTACCCAATTAACAAAGTTTAGAGGCACCGGAGGTTGTTTTCTCCAGCGTGCCCTCCGACGCTCAAGCCAGTAATTGTTTTCTCTTAATCTGAAGAGAAAAACAAAGTATAGTCTTGTTGACTTTTTTGTGTGTAAAATTGTGTACCTTGAATTGGTGGAAATACCATTATTTATAAAGGGTTTATGGGCGCATTGGTAATTTTGACCAAGGTGTGTAGTTCTGAGTCGGACACCACTTTACATGAGCCAGCAATTAATTGGTTGAGTCGCCATTGTACAGTGATGGGACTGTCGGAGTAAAGTCATGTCCGTGGAGCTTTGAAGGCTCTGGCTCGAAACATTATTAAGACTTTGACGCCACATTAATTGTTGATAGTGACAGGGCGGTAAAGTGCGAGCACTAACTATATATTTATTAAATGCAGCGTGACTTTTGATGACGCTTGTCAGGTTGCTCCATTGCTCGCGACGCACTGTATTGAATCCGAGTGGAGTACACACTTCTTCTCAAAGTCAGTCATCCAGCAGAGTCAATGTTGGGAGCACCTTTCGTCTCAGATTTGGACCACGAGGCAGGTTAGATAGCTTATCTACTGGGTTTGCAGATGCTTGCAGTTACGTGGCAGCTTAATGGGTTTGGTATTTTCAGAGTATAACACTGGCCCCTTTTCACATGGACTTGGGAAGTTGAGTTTGAGAGTAAACAAAACGGATTGATGCTCGAACATGATCCATCCTTGTTACAAGACAGGTGCAACTTGACGTTTCTGATGTCAGCAGAGATTGTGTGGTAGTTTTGACAGAGTGGCACCTTGTTTGACAGGACGTCGCTTCGGTTTCTAAAACCTGTCAGCGATTTTCCTGTAAACCATGCCAACCATCTATCTTCCGTCACGTGTCATTCCGCCTTTGTTTGTTTTATATATATCATATATATATAT